ATTTGTGGTGTCGTTTCAATGAGGGTTCGAGAACTGTCGGGCAGGACGGCGGTTACAGGAAGTGACAATGCTCTCCCAGATCCACAGAGTTGTGTGTGCTGTATGTTCGTATTATTGTACTGTATATAATGTAACCACATCTGAGATCTGGTTGTCCCGTTCAGAGGTTCTTAATTTATCTGTGGAGCTCAAGGGGCTTCACAATAGGCAGTGGAAAATGTCCGGCAGCAGTCTCGAGCCATGTATAGGTCAATCGAGCTGAAAGTTGAGAAGCATGTCAGGTGTGGAAAGTGGAGGATGGGAATCGAGCGAGGCCAAAATCTAGTAGACGGCAGGCCCCGTCTCGCTAATTAGCCCACCGCATTTCTGCGAGACCATCGCATTAACGGATCACTCAACCTGTAGGCGGACGGGCCGAGACTTACTATTATGATCTCACCTGGTTATAAGTATAACAGTTTATTAGCTGAGATTATAGGTCAGGTGTGATTCCCTTTAATCTTCGCCCTTTCCGCTCCCCGGAGTGCTTACTACTATAGACTATTAATGAAATCTTCAGATGGCTAGAGAGCGACCAAAGCGCCATTACTCATTACTTTGACTACTATCCTTCTATCCGCCGTTTATTCTTAGATATAGTATAACGGGTCGCCGGCCGCAAATCCTTAGTAACTCCGGTCGCAATCCTCTCGGAGAACGCTCTGGATCGCAAGCCTACCGTTTCTAATTCCGAGGAGGTTACTAATTAGACAGGTTCAATAACCCACGACGAGGTAGAAGAGAGAGCTTATGATAAAGCAATTGATATCACAAATGAAGTCCATATAAATATAGAGGATCTCCTGGTATAAAGGCTATAGTGGAATAATCCTAAGTCGAAGGAAATACCTTAGTACTTGATAGTACTAACTAACTCTATAAGCGTGGATAGTACGGTCAGTCCCTTTACTAATAATAAATACATAGACAAGTCTTTGTAGGGGCCTATGGATAGATGTATATAATAGGCTGGGAGAGATAACTAACCTGCCCTCGAGACTTCCCCGGCTATTAGTAATCTGGAGGCCGTAACCCTTGACCTTAGTAAGTATATAGCAGATAAGCCTCTACCTTGTTCCTATAGTACCGACGACTAAATTTGACTTTGCAGAATCCTCGTCCTATGGTAACCTGACTTAAGTTAATACCGTCCTATAATAGTAAGCAGAGCGAAAGCAAAAGCGAAAGCGTCCGGTATCCGGTGTCTTAATACATTAAGGGCAACTAGCCAGTAAGACTAATATACTATCTATGCTTCCTTGCGGCATATTAGATAAGTGGGACAGGATTACTAGTAGAGAAACTCTTACCTAATTATGGCTCTGTCTTTATGTAAAGAGAGAGCCGGCTTTAAATAAGGAACTAGAAAGCCTACTCGAGACCCTAGACCTCTTAGATACAAGTATAGAAGGCTAGCTAATAAAATACTAACTTTAATATTAGAGAGATATTAAAGGAATCTCAGAGAAATATAAACTGCTTGCCGAAATTCCATGGCGATTATACCTGGCAAATATAATTGGCTTCTACCTGCAGGAGAAGGCGGTATGAAAGATAAAGAAGAGACCGAAAAGAAATCGAGGTCATAACCTAGTTACTACGAGTATACCTCAAGTCTTTGTATATAATATCTTTATTAATTTCCTTCTTCCTAAACTACTATAAGAGGATACTAATATATATGAAAATGCTAAGATAAGATTTAATAACTAGATATAATATAAAAAGCGGTAGACTAAACTAGTTAAACGCTTTGGCTCTGGTATTCTGCTCCTAATACCTTAGGATCTAACTAATAAAAAGTGAGTTTGTTTCTTTATAATATGTCCCTTTTCTCGGCTATATAATAGTTTAATTCCTGACCTTAATAACCGTAGCCTTCGAAATATAATACTACCTAAAGTAGATATTCTCGTAGAATATCTGGATTCTTATTAGCTATCTCTAACGGCTAATATTAAGAACCTTATATCTCTTCTTTTACTATTAATTAAAGATTAGGGCTTGCCAGATTAGAGGCTAAAGCTTGAGATATTGACCGAAAGTCAGATTATATCTGGAGAGTACGTAGCTCAATTATTGAGAGAGTTATTTGAATTCTCTAACGAATTCTCGTCTTTCCTAATAGAGACTACTATTTCTGATCTCTCTCAGCTTAATACTAAAGCTTCTTTACCTTACCCTTGGGTGAGCCTTAGAGAACTAGCCGGCGGGAATGCGGCCTTGCCAGGTCTTAATATCCTTAACCCTAATAACCCAAATATTATATTATATATAGATTATCTTATATCTCCTATAAGTGGGGGAAAGATAGACCGGTTTGGAAAAGATTTTTTTTTAACTAGTATATAGAGTAGTATTATATATATTTTTGATATAATATTATAACCGCATTATCCTTAATTATGTCTCTTTTATACTATCTGATATATAATATTATCCGAGAGTAGTATAAAATCTCACTAAAGTAAAGTAGGGCCTTTAATCCTAAAGCCGCCCAAGTATATCCCACTATTTTTTATCTCCGTATTACTAAACCACGATAGAAAAGCGTTACGCAAGGAGAAATAAGGATACTGTACTAATAATAACTAAGGTTTAGCCCGTAACGGATACCGACCCAGGGTTTGCATATCTCTATGGCCCCAAGCCACAAACGTTAGCGGTATTTGACCCCGCAATTATGAGCCGCAGAAGCCCTATTACAGACCTGTCGTCCACAAAGGTTCCCTCAAATAATTAACTTCGGGAAGAAAATCATTAAATTATCGCGTAAATTCAAGTTGAATTGCGTTTTGCCGGTCGCCCTCGAGAATTATCTGTAATAGTGGCATTATTAACCATATCCTTTGGGAAATCCCATAGAATATGATCATGCGCCTCTATTTATTTGGCAGTCAGATTAGCTATATACCCCCGAACCGTAACGGATAGCAGGTGTTATTGCAAGCACTAGTATACCAAGTACAATTTATTAGAATACGGGAAGTCAGAACACCACAAATAAGGATTTCTAGAGGAGTATATGCCAAAATTAAAGGATTTCGCTAGTTTGTTTCCTGATCTGGGACGGGAAGGATTAGTAATTCTTGTTTTGAATCTCTCAAACTTAGAATCATTTAAGCTTGAGCGTATTAACTAGCTATTAGCATTATTTATATAAGTAATAATAACTTTTAATTACAAAATCTATTAACTATTACTCCTAACTCTTGCTAAATAATTAGTAGAATACCAATGCTCCCAGGAGCCCGGTGGCTCCTGGGAATTTTATCCTAGGACCTACAAGCTTCTAGGAACTTTCTCCCGGAAGTATATAAGATCCCAGGAGCTATACGGCTCCCAGGAATTTTCTCCTAGAACCCTACGAGCTCCTGGGAACTTTCTCCTGGGAGCGTACAAGATCCCAGAAGCCACTATACTCCTAGAAATTATCTCCTAGGATCTATGCGACTATACGTGACTCACGTATATACCCCATAGCCAAATAAGTTTATTTTAGCCGCTCTTACTAGAGTGGTTATGGATATTTATGGTTTGCCCTTCTGCCTAATAGAAAATCGATATGGCTCTTAAGACCGGCAGGCTCTTTAGTATAGTCTCTAAAGAGGCTAGCTAATCAAGAAATAATCGTTTGAAAATATTTAGCGATTTAATAGCCTAAAAGTTAGTAATTATTTACTGAATATTTAGCGGTCAATAGCCTGAGATTTAATAATAAGCATACTAAAAATTTAGCGACTAATAGCTACTTAATACTAAAAACACCTTATTAAACTAATATATTAATATAGTACTAGAAACAGGAGATATCTCGCTCTATACTCCAGTTATCTAGTACTATTACCTATCTAGTTCTATTACCTCGGCACTAGATATCTACTAGTACTAGGATACTATAACTTAGGTAAAAGTACTATTGGCCATAAATCTATTATTTATAAACCTATTAGCTATAAACCTATTAGCCACAAACCTGTCGGCTACAAACCTATTGACCTATAAGCCTATTAGCTATACGTTAATTAAACCTACCTTCTTCCCGAATATATTCGTATTCCTTAATTAAGTATGGCTCCTATACGAAAACGTACCGGGGAGAACTCTCGAAGACGGAAGTATACTCTAATTAAAAAAGCTCATGAATTTGCAGAGATAAGCGGTACTAATATAGTATTTTTTATTTACTAGTCTAGGCATTAGTTTATATACAGATCTACTAACCAATAGTCATTCCCTCTATTATGGGAATAGATCATAAGTATTATAACGAAATATATATATAATACTAATAAGAAAATAGTAAATATCATATTCACTCCCGATAAATCTGCTACTACAGGATTTCCAATATCAAAAGCAGGATTATTACTATTGTTTTTAATATTATTATTCCATAATTTGCCAAATAGGAAGATATTAGGTTTGAATTAACACGGCTTGTTATATTTTGAGTTTGGGAATAATACGGGCCGAAATCCTCCTTTAATCCTAGCACCAATTAGCAAGAGTTATCGCCGCAAATATTCAAGAATAGAATCAAAAGCATATTATCTTATTATTCTTTATATACTATTATCTTCCTATACGCCCAACTTCACGTATTATCGTCTTCCTGATCTGAAAACATAGTAAGATTAAAAGTATAAACTAAACTTTAAAGTTTCACCTGGCAGACAGCCTTATTATTCAATCTAACTAGGCATCGACCTGCAAGAACACGTTCCAATTCACGAACCAATATGCATTCGTTCTTAACTCTTGTCTCAGCCGAGTACGATCAATGGGCAATTACAAGCAAGGCTTTAGTGCATCGGCAGGCGGGCAGTCAGCCTCAAGACGAAATCGCCTATGGCTTTCGCGAGCTACCTGCCAAATGCCTCAGAAATTAGGCAAGACGGAGCAAAAATGGAGCTAGGCAGATATCTTCATAGCAGAGCATCAAATTGTCGGGCTTCCATTTAGGGGTCGCTCATAGCAACGTCGTCATTAGAGCTATCATTATCATCCTCGGGGCCCAAGTCAGTAATAGCACTGTCGTGGTCATTATCGCTATCGAAGCCAAAGTCGGCATCAGCGCCAACTTCAGTATCGTCAAAGCCCTCGTCATCCGTATCATCAGCGCAAGTTTCGTCGTCATCGAGGCCGGGAGTCCGCCTCCTCATCTTCTTCTTCTTCGCGTCAACCAGCTCCATAGGCCGGCATCCGGTAGCAAAGAGGAGAAGCAGGATCAGTGCAAACTGCACGCGGTACCGCTCCGTAGGGAAGGTAGAAGTATCGCGTGCCCAGTGATAGTTGAGCAAGAGCAAGAGGTCGTCGATACCGAGGACGGGCTTCTCCCTGACCGTGATATCGAGCTCGAAGTCCGTGGTCAGCTTACCGAAGATGTACTAAACCCACGTTAGCATCCGTACGTCAGGAAGATAATTATTAAACAGAACAAGCCCCTACCGCGAGAGCCTCTGTGGCGTTATTGGTATCCATGTGGCGGCCGTTCTCCCGATTATAGGAGCATTTTAAGCTGCAGATAATATTGGTGGACCGACCTCCTCTTCTTTACCCGATCCACCTCGCAGATATAGATAAGAAATACTATTGTAGTCCCCTTGGAGCAGTTCCGGATCACCGTACGCCAGTCCTGACCCATATGAGCACAGAACCTAGATCAGAAGTCAGACCAACTATTGACTCGAGGTCTTTAATCAAGTATTTATTATCTTATCTATTAAACTTGTCGATAATGCCTTGGAGGTTATCTTTAGTGGTATCGGCATAATTGCACTTTATAGTCGTCTTGTTGTGCTAGTCAATCAGATTCTGGTAATATTCGGGAGGGCGTTATTGGATCTTCGGTTTAGGGCGGCGGCGTTCTTATTTAGGCGTGCGAGATTCGGTAGCGAGGTTTGAGGCAGTTGTGCATTGACCTTGGAATAGGTTCTTGCGACCATGGCGAAGGCAGGATCGTTCGGTCTTGGGGTGCGGTGGTCCAGAGCTGGATGTCGCGCGCGGTGCTGCGTTGAGAGGTGGGAAGATGGGGATGAGGATGCGGATGGGGAGGGTACGTATATGAGCACGAACGATGGGCAGTGCCATGGTGACTGACAAGATGGGGAGCCATCGTTCCACCCCCCGTTTCCGGGGGGGGTGGGGATGGAAGCAGAAAGTCTACAATTGGGAACAGAGAAACAGAAGGGGTCGACTTTGATGAGCCGGGGTGCGCAAGCGAGCCGCAACACGTGATGAGTTTCCGGGGTCAGAGGCTGCTTAAAAACAGCGGCCGCACCCCCCCAAATCCAGCAGCCTCAACACCAGAATCCCGCGTAGTTTTCCAACGAGCGAGTTGTCGTGTTCGCTCCTCTCCGCCGTACTGCCGTCAGTTGAGGTCATCAAACTCCGCGCAAAAGAATGCGTCTTTTACAACGCGGCAACGCTGGCGAGTTCAGCCTGACTAAGGACCTGGTTGGCGATAATATTCCCCCGTATGCGATACTTTCGCACACATGGGGAGCAGATACAGAAGAGGTCACCTTCAAAAACCTGATAGATGGCACCGGCAAGGGCAAGGCTGGCTATAACAAGATCCTGTTCTGCGAAGAAAAAGCAGCTAGCCACGGCCTACAATACTTCTGGGTAGACACTTGCTGCATCGACAAGTCAAGCAGCGCCGAGCTTCAGGAGGCTATTAACTCTATGTTTCACTGGTACCGCAATGCGGCTAAATGCTACGTCTATCTCTCGGATGTTTCGAGCCCTGCCTTCGACGCCGACGATAAATTCAGCCAGCTGCCCTGCAAATCGGCTTTTCTAGCGAGTAGATGGTTCACTCGGGGCTAGACGCTCCAAGAGCTTCTTGCTCCGCGTTCGGTCGAGTTCTTTTCTCGAGAAGGTAATCGACTCGGTAATAAGAGATCTCTGGAGCGACAAATTCGCAAGATAACGGGAATCGCTATTCTAGCACTTGAAGAAGCCCCTTGTCTCAGTTCGGCGTTAATGTGCGATTGTCATGGGTAGAAAACCGCTAAACCACGCGCAAAAAAGACAAGGCGTACTCGCTACTAGGTATATTCGACGTCTACATGCCGCTCATCTATGGCGAAGGGGAAGATAATGCGTTTAAACGGCTCCGGGAGGAGATCAATAAGCCTTCGAAGGGTAAGCACGCAGCTCCGGTTCATATCTAATATGGCAGTCAAGGGTACGGAGCGCTGACCGGCAATAGCACTCGACCGACTACCGTACGCTATTGAGGCGCCATTCAATTCATATACGAAGCAGCACTCTCCCTCTTGCCTCCCTAATACCCGCATCGAGCTTCTTCGAGATATATATATCTGGGCTAATGAACAAGATGAGCGCTACATCTTCTGGCTAAACGGCTTGGCCGGAACGGGAAAGTCCACGATCTCCCGCACGGTCGCCCGTAGATACTTTGAGCAAAAACGCCTCGGAGCCAGCTTCTTCTTCTCACGAGGCGGTGGAGACATTGGGCATGCCGGAAAGTTCGTTACAAGCATTACAGTACAGCTGGCGAGCAGCGTACCGGCTCTCTATCGGTTCGTTTGCGATGCTATTACGGAGTATAGCGACATTGCAAGCAAGTCTCTTTACGACCAATGGCAACAGCTCGTCCTTAGTCCCCTATCGAAGCTGGACAGCACCGGCTGCTGGACCTCGTATATTCTTGTCGTTAATGCGCTTGACGAGTGCGACAATGAGAACAATATCCGGATCATTCTACAGCTCTTAGCTAAGGTTCGATCGTTAGAGACAGTCCGACTACGAGTCTTCCTAACGAGCAGACCTGAAATTCCAATCCGACACAGCTTCTACCAAATATCTAAGACCGCGCACCAGGACTTCGTGCTTCACAACATATCGCAATCGATTATTAATCACGATATATACATTTTCCTACAGTATAATCTGAGGCTTATCGGGCAGGAAAGCTGTCTAGGCGCCGGCTGGCCGGGCGAAAACACCGTTCGGAGTCTGGTTCAAAATGCAAGTGGGCTGTTCATCTGGGCTACAACCGCTTGTCGGTTCATTCGTGAAGGCAAACGATTCGCTAAAAGTCGACTAGATAAAATTCTTAAGAGCGGCAAAACTTCTATTACTGCACCGGAGATAAGCCTCAACGAGATATACAACACTGTCCTGAAGCACGCTATTTCCCCGGGCTACACAGATAAGGAAAGAGAAGAGTTATATCTTATACTAAGACACACGCTTGGCAGTGTGGTGGTATTGCTCTCGCCGCTATCTGCCTACTCCTTAAGCAGGCTACTTCATCTACCGAAGGAAGAGGTCGACCAGACACTAGAGGATCTTCACACCATCTTAGATGTCCCAGAGGATCGAACCCGCCCACTCCGTCTGCATTATCCCTCATTCCGGGACTTCCTTCTCGACAAAAACAGATGTGGAGATTCGAACTTCTGGGTAGACGGAAAGCAAGCGCATCAGACGCTAGCCAGTAACTATATACAGCTTATGTCGAAGTCTCTTAAACAAAACATCATTAGAGTAGACTCTCCGGGAGTACTTGCTACTAATATAGAGAGCAGTCGAGTGGAGCAGTGCCTCTCTCAAGAGGTTCAGTACGCATGTCTCTACTAGGTTGAGCATCTGCAGAAGGGTGGCTCCCAGCTCCGGGATAACGACCAAGTGCATTAGTTCCTAAAGGTATACCTCCTCCATTGGCTCGAGGCGCTAGGCTGGATGCGCAGGGTCCCTGACGGGATTTATGCAATCACTTCTTTAGAGTTAATTGCGCTTGTAAGACAGCTCCTCACATCTCGAAATAACTAGCTAACGTATAGTTAAGGCTAGCAAGTGTCCTGATCTCCGGGCATTCGTCCACGATATAAAGCGATTCGCCTTATCCTTTAAAGCAGGAATCGAGCAGGCTCCTTTCCAGACATACTATAGTGCTCTTATATTCGCACCGGTAATAAGTATGGTAAGAAAGCAATTTAAAGGTTATGTGCCTCGGTGGATGCGAAAATTACCTAAAGTAGCAGAATATTGGGATGCCTTACTACAGACGCTTGAAGGGCATGGCGATACCGTTAGGGCGGTCACCTTCTCTCCTGACGGCAAGCAGCTAGCGTCAGCGTCGGTCGATACGACGGTCAGGCTTTAGGATGCCGCATCGGGAGAGGGATTGAAGAAGCTCGAAGGGCACAGCTCCATGGTTAATGTGGTTGCCTTCTCTCCTGACGGCAAGCAGCTAGCGTCAGCGTCGGTCGACAAGACAGTTAGGCTCTGGGACGTAGCGTCGTAGGGGAAGGTAAAGAAGCTCAAAGGGCATAGTGCTTCCGTCGACGCGGTCGCCTTCTCTCCTAACGGCAAGCAGCTAGCGTCAGCGTCGGCTGATAACACGGTTAGGCTCTGGGATGCAACGTCAGGGGAGGAGGTGAAGAAGCTCGAAGGCTACTGCGATAGGGTCTGGGCGGTCGCCTTCTCTCCTGACGGCAAGCAGTTAGCGTTAGCGTCGATCGACAAGACGATCAGGCTCTGGGACGCGGCCTCGGGTGAAGAGGTGAAGAAAATCGTGCTACAGACTAGCATCTCGAGTCTACGTTTCTCCAGCGACAGTCAGCGCTTAGAGACTGATCGAGGGATCCTCACCATCTCTAGCTCCTCTTGCCTCCTACCGTTTCCGCAGAAAGCGTCGGATCATATCTTCTATAATGACGAATGAATAGCTCGAAATGGCCAGAACCTTCTTTGGCTGCCTTGTAATTATCGAGGGACAAGGTCAGCATTTAGAGGAAACCTCCTTGTTATCGGACAGGAATCTGGTACAGTAAGTTTTTTCGAATTTACGTAGAAGATAGATAATAAAGCAGGAGAGGATCAAAATGTTCGAAGTCTTTGAATATGTTATAACTAATACTATTTCTTTTAATCTCTATTTCATATGGGGTTCCTAGGGCCGACATAAATATATAATGGAAGGACTCGCCGCTCTGGTTCTCGAACTTTCTAAGTATTAGTATGGTGGTCCGAAAAGTTGAAGCTGAGCTGAATCAGGTCAATGTACATTTGGGGATACATAGCTAGACTTTATTACCTGATTTGTCCTGCTTCGCCCTTGTGGGGAAGTAATCCAATCACTTTTACAAATTCAAGGCTAGTAGATTTCTACTGGTCGTACGGAGTACAAGCCGGAAAGGCGGATTGGTATGACCAGTAGATTTCTACTAGCCTTGGATATATTTTAGAAAAAAGGAAAGGGTCTGTATGAGCAGTAGATTTCTACCAGTCTTTGGAAATACTTAGAAAGCAGGAAAGCGGTTTCGGTATGACCCGTAGATTTCTACTACTCTTTGGAAATACTTAGAAAGCAGGAAAGCGGTTTCGGTATGACCCGTAGATTTCTACTACTCTTTGGAAATACTTAGAAAGCAGGAAAGCGGTTTCGGTATGACCCGTAGATTTCTACTAGTCTTGGAAATACTTAGAAAGCAGGAAAGCGGTTCGGTATGACCAGAGATTTCTACTAGTCATACAGAAGCCCTGTAATACTTAGTACGGAAGGGGTCTCAGAAAATCAAGGTCACCCCCCCAGTTCTGCCATCGCTTAAGACAGGAATTTACGGGGCAAAACTGACTAACCTCGATAATTAATTGGCTGGAAATCTCACCGCCTTACAGGGGGGTGACCTTGATATATTGAGACCCCCTTCCGTACAGTACCCGCCCGGGGAAAAGGAAAATGCTGTCTGGTTCCCTAAATGCTAAGGTGGGGCAAGCGACCCTGGAGTTCATCCTGCCTGCGTGATTGGCTGTCCAGATTGCTGTTTTCGACTAACAAGTATCGCTTACTCGGAAATGCGTCTGCCAATCATTTCCTGTCACTGCTGAAACGCGCGCCTGCAACGCCAGTCAAAGAAGAGACTTCACTTGGGAACTGGGAAGCGGAATGACTTTCTTTCCGCTCATCTGTAGGCGGACTGTTCCATTGCCCTTCGAAAATGCGCAAGTCGCAAACCCGTGTCCAGAGCAAACTTTCCGAACTGGCCACCGAAACCTAACTTTCAGTACTTGACGGAGCTGATCAGAGTTAGGATAGTTAAAAGACGAAATAAGATTAATAATGAACTAAATATCTTAAAATACATATATTATTTGTCTTTGGATGATGTCGCACAAATGCAAGACGCCGTGGAGGATTAGTGGACTTCCAAATGCTATAATTAGAACGCGGTAGGGGAGCCGGTTCAGGCAGCGAAGCACGCTAAAGTGGCTTCAAGCGGCTCTAAAATCAGTAGCAGGCCACGGCGGGGAATGGAAAGCACTTCTCCCAATTCAACTCCAGCCATTACAATGAAAAGAACTCTACAGCAGCCGCTCGTACACTAGCAGATTATCAGTTCGCTATGACCCCCGACTCGAAATTCTCACCTCTTCGGTTCTTCAGGTATAGGCCACGATCTGCAGAGCTCACATTCGCCCTTACTCTTGGGATAGCTGAGCTGATGCTTGATAACCCTAGTTCTGAATGCACTTCCCCACGTCTTGTGCTCCTTGCTATAAGATTCGTAGCATTTAACGTCGAACGTACGGCCACGATAGTTGAACTAGTCCTCGACTGCCTGGTGGAATCTTCCTTCCATCTTTAAGTTACTAGTCTCAACTAGCGCCGGGAGGTCACCAAAGATCTGTTCGATGCAAGAGACGTGATAGTATTGATTCGGATCTGGACGGGACGAACTATGATTAGTAAATTTACACGAGTATTCTCAAGTAGGAAACATCATGACTTTACTGTAATACTGACCCGAGAAGTCCTTTAAATTAAGGCGCACGAGAGACACAATATGAGGTCTGCCGGTCAATTGCCTTGGTTGGGGACATCCTCGAGGACTAGAAAGGTAGTCCTTGATTCCAGTTAATGGTTAATTATCCTTCTCGCGGTGACTTCTTTCCCGAAGAGCCGAGCACTTGTTTGCTGAGCGAGGTACTTGCGCGCGTGGCTGGGGTGTCTCATATTAATGGATTGCCTATTGAGAGAGAGAGAGAGAGAGAGAGAGTGCCAGCTTTGTAGTAGCACCATATATACTAACTAATGAATTAAAGTAGTTATCTTATTGAATCTGAATAAGGAGAAATCTGTTTATGTAAAGTGGAGTAGTCTATTTTGTCGAACGCACAAACCTTGACTCCCGAAGCGTGACGCCGTATACGGTCTATATATGGTTTTTGAAATACTGTATGTATTCGAGAATAAGCCTCTGAGACTTGTACGTTGGGTAATAATACTCTATCCTGGCCTCCGGATCTTTTCCGTTAAGGTGATTCCGTTTAACGTAATCTATTATTTTTGCAGGGCAGCAAAAAGAGCCTATCCGCTCTTTGTAGCTCTTTGATTCGTCTCTAATATAGAATAGGTACTAAGTCTTACTACAGACGAGGGGAAAAACAGGAGCAAGGGGTCCGATTTCAGGAGACTTTTTTTTGAAAATAGTTAGTAGAGGAAGGGTAATGCGAAGTCGGTATTATAGGGCTACCTTACGATAGCCACAGAGAGCCTGTATGAGATCGGCGGTCTGAATCCGGTAATTAATAGTATTTTGCGGGGTAATGTTTATAATACGAGTATAGATAAGGTCAGCTAGCTATATCCTATAGGAGATCTAATACTAAACTACTTGCTCGATATACTCTTTCTCCTCCTGTCTACTATTCTGCTTCTCAATGTCTTCCGTCGGGCATTAGCGGAAGTAGTTTGCCCGGTATTCTTTAGAGATAATGTTTCGACGCCTGCTCCTAGTACTACCGATTACGGTAGTAAGTCGCCGGACTTCTGCCTCTACGTCTGTCCCTTGAACTCTGTATGCCCCGGCCTTTAGCTATTCTCGCTCCTGCTTAAGTACGGTAATATCTGGATCGGGAGGAAGTATAGCCAGGATATTATTAGGGACGTGAATCGGGGTGCGGGGATCATATATGAGACTCATATGTGTTAGTATACGAAGGACGCCGTCTGCCGAGGGGCGCTCGAGGACGGCGGACTAGACATTAAATTATACCCGCTTATTAATATAGGACTTATTATATATGGCCGAGTTCGGGTTATATCGCATGACCTGGTCCCGAATAGTATTAGTGGCAATACCTAGAGACTAAGGACGTTTACGTTAGTACGGCCGTCTCTTTTTCGAGTGGCTACAAGATAATTTATAATTAACGATATTTGCCGTCCTATATTAAAAGTAGTAGCTACTCGCAGGCAATTCCGCACCCAGTTCGGGCCAGCTCGCTAAGCTCGCTGGTTGCAGCAAGTCCGACATTGCAGCAACTCCGACATCGATTTTTAGTCGTTTTTATTATATTAAAAAACAACCATACATCCGATTAAAATAATTTTTTTATATAATTATAGCCCTTACTTAGACTAGTAATTGCCTAATAGAGTATTTTTTAATTAAAGCGCATCCGGTTATAGTAATAATTAATTAAGTAAATTATCGGAGCTTACCGAGCGGCCTCGGCATAACCTTACGCGTAAAAATCGCATCCAATTTACTCCTCAATACCACTCTGTTCCCATCCAAATCATTAAATACGCTACCATGCCTAAAGCCATACGCCGCATAGCGAGAGAGAAGAACGAGGAAGTAGTTCAGAGGCTCAAAAAACTCCTATAGTACAAGACGGTTTAGTATATAGTATAGGAGAAGCGGATAAAGGAGGCTATATATACTTGGAAGGACCCTGCAGAAACCGAAATTATAAACCTATAAACCTCTGCCTCCATATTTGACGTACCTTACTCGATATGTTTCAATTAATATAAGGGGTCCAAGCCTCTTTCGGAGAATAGAGGGCATAATATATGTTTGAATAAGACCCAAAAAGCAAGCTTAATATAGTATATGAATACATATATTAAGAGGAATTACCCTTTGCGATACGATATGGTTACTGCGGTAGCTATATTAATTTTGAAGGCTACGGATTAAATACTCTCTCCTGCGAACCGAATTAGAAATATATGGGCCCTTCGTTAGATAGAAAAACAGAGGAAATTAGGCCGGTACCATATAGTTTATACTAAGCCTATGGACTATAAAAGAAAGGACGCTTTTATTCCCGAAATTATTACAAAGTACTTTAATAATCTAAAGGCCATAAAGAAGAAGTATAATATCTATAAAAGTAATTAATATAATATAAACGAGATTGGATTCCGGGTAGGATATATGCAAAGTACTACTATAATTACTTATAAGAATATAAAGCATATAAGTAAAAAACCACCCTATTAAAAATGCCCCTAAAAATATAACTATATTAACTAAGTTCAGGTATTTATAAAGGATCCTATACGAAGAGAGCTAGTTATAGCTATAGAGTATATATCCACTAGTTTCTGGGAGCTTAATCTATTTATTATTATACTAGATAGTATATTTATATAGAAGTATTTTAATAATAATCTAGCCCAAATATTAAAATCATAACCTCTAAAAATAGATATACGGACGACGAGCTAGCCTATAAGTAGCTATGGTATTTCTACTACTAGACTAAGTTACGAGTCAAGGGCAGATATCATCTTCTAATATTTAATAGATATAGAAGCCATATAATATACGAATTTATCTAAGCTATAGAGTCTTTGGATATTATCTATTTCTGTCTAATTATATACTCTATATACCTGTATTAACTATTAGATATTACGTATTTCTAGCAGGAGAAGTACTAGTATTTAAGAGTAATTAAAGACAAGATTTATAAGAATAGAAATAACTTTACGAAAATGACTTTCCTGTAGTATTACGAGCAAATCAGAGCTCTAGCTTTTATTAAAAAGAATATATATTTGGCTTTTGCAAAAACTAGTATTTACCTATTTAACCCTAATATGGTTTTAAAGGCTCTTGAGAAGCAAATAGCCAAGAAACTAGGTAATAAGAGTACTAGAGGACGTATTTATAATTATAGTAAGACTAATCTATTGCTTGGAATTTATATATCTTTATCTAATAAACCATAACTCCGAATAAAGCCTAGGAGATTAATAATATGGGAGTAATAGCCCGAATTATATAATGCCCCTGAATCCCTAAGCAAGCTTAATAAGAATAATAAAGACGATTTGGAGCTTTTATTACTTCCTGGGGCTTTAGAAATCGAAAACGAGATTGGAAATACTATAGATAATCTAGTAGAACCCTTTTCTAAAGCTAGGCTTACTAATTATAGTAAGGAGAACTCAGGAATTCGCGGACTAGACAATTAGTAGTATACCAGAACCCCCTTTTTCCAGATACCCTATAGAGTAAAGGGTATATATAAGTATACTACCTTTTTGGAAAAGTATAAAGATGAGATATCCTCGCCTTCTAGGTAATTATCTAATTATAAGTTCAGGAAAGGAGCCCAGATTAAGGCTAATTTGGGTACAATTATATGCGAGAACCTTGCTAAGAAGAATAAAGAGAGTATATAGGCTAAGCCTTCTCTTTTTATAGATAAAGAGAACCTTTAAAAGTACGTAAAGCCACTAGGGGAAGGTCGAGTTATCTTATCTGGGGATAGTTTATATTAAATTAAGGCTCATAAAAAGTAGGAGGAGGAGGATACTTTGACTAAAGCTCGGAAGGAGCTTGAGAGGGCCGAACGCCGCCATTAAGCTAAACTTGATAGGATTAAAAAAGAGAGGAAAAGGGAAAAGGATATTACTTGTAAGGAGCAGGAGAAGCTTGAAAAGGCCATAAGAAGAGAACAAGAGAGAGCTAAAAGGAATAAGAGAAAGAGAATAGAAGAAGAAGCAAAGGAGGCTAGAAGACAGGAGTTACTTGCTCAGGGAAAGAAGCCTAGGGGGAGAAAGTACAAGATTAATACTATTAATACCCAAAGTACGGAAACTAGTATACAGGCTAGTATATAATATTAATAGGAGGCTAAAGGAACTAATACTATACGAAATAAGAGTGATTCCTGTACTTGACTCTTAATATATAGCAAAAGTGAATATAATATAATAATTTTAGCCTAAAAATTAATACTTATCTCCGTATTACAAAGGCTAAAATAGGTCATATAAGGCCCATATTATATCATTTTGACAGGCTAATTGAGCTCTATAATAATATAAATTTTTTATTGCAATATCTTATATGGTTACATTAATATTTAATTAATTATATAAAATGTCGGAGTTGGTGGTATGTCGGAGTTGCTGCAACCGACGAGCGTAGCGAGGCGGCCCAAACAGGGTGAGGATTAGCCGACGAGTAGTTAGCGTCTCCTTAAAGCCCGCCGCAAGCCCGAGGCAGTTAAGGCTATACTTAAACTAAGAGTATGGGAGAGCTCTCTCTAGTAAGGGGTTAGTACTGCCCTTATCTCGACGGAAGATAGGCGTCTTGAGCCTTTCCTGCTTCTAGTATAGCAGTATATATAAGACTGGGCCTTAGACCTTATACTTAAAGATTCGCTTGGGAGTTATTAGGCTAGGCGCCTCAAACGCACCGTCTGCGAGGGTAAGGGAAACGAGGTATATAATAGGATAGAAGATCGGGTTATCTACTTCGGTAAAGAAGAATATTATACTATAAGTGTCCGTTAGTTTAATATTAGAGTATATACTCGAGGTAGTTAGTTAACTCATGGCTTGGGGCGTCTTTTATATTCTTTGTAGTAAGCTATTATAATTTCTATAGCAAGTATATCTTGCCCTCTACTACCGGGACTATATATAACTAATAGGCGTATATCCTTATAGTAGATCGTATTATAATATCTTATGTTTTCTTTAACCGTATTTAAAGTAGTAATGCCTTTAAGAGTATTATTATTGCGGTTACTAAAGTCCTAATTATCCTCGGTACCGAAACCGTTATTATTCTTGTTAATAGTAAGAAGATTATTATTATTAAGATTACTGTTCTTAGAACCGGAATCCTTTCTATTCTTTTTTTTAGTATTAACTAGCTTTATAGGCTAATAGCCGGTACCAAAAAGAAAGAGCAGGATTAGTATAAACTATACCCGGTACCGCTTAATAGAGAATATAGAGGTATTACGGGCCTAGTAGTAGTTAAGTAAGAGTAGCAGGTTATCTATATCTAAGACGGGCTTTGACTTAATAGTATTATCGAGCCCGAATATATTAATATACTATAGATATTAGTAACTATAGATTAAATAAGTAATAGTAATTAAGGAGTAGCTTATCTTTAGGGCCTCTTTCCTAATATTAGTATTTATATAATAGCTATTCTCTTAATTAAATAGTATCTTGAACTATATAATATATTATTATATTATATCTCTCTTACTTATCCTGTCCTTATTATAGATATACTTGAAGAATACTAGTATGGTTTCCTGGAAGTAGTCCCGGATTATAGAGTACTAATTCTTCCTAAGCTTATTATTATAGAACCTACTCGAGAGTCAGGATAATTAATTATACTAATAGTACTTTAATTTAAGAATATTATTTCCTTATCTAATAAACTTGCTTTTAATACCCGAAAGATTATTCTTGGTTATATTGGCATACCTATATTTGATTTTAGTCTTCGGGTTATCGTACCGCTCGATAAGGTTCTGGTAATACCCAGGCGGCCGCTGAGTCTTTGGTTTAGGTCAATAACGTTTAATATAATAATAAAGGAGTTAAAGGCCCTGTACCGAGGTATCTAGTAGTCGTGGGTTAACGGGCGCGTACCGTATTAGGGCCATGAGGATGACGGGGTCGTTCTGCTTTAGTAGGGAGTGGTCTTGATAATACCGTCGTCATAGAGAGTGACGGGTGCAGAGGAGTAGAAGGACGGTATTGTGGTCGGCGAGAAGTGATGGTTGCGAGAGAGATGGGGGAGGGATGAGGATATATAAGTAGGGTCGGAGGGCAGAGGACTCGAAGCGCCGGAAGGGTGACCGCCATGGTGACCGACCCCCCGTTTCTGGGGGGGGGGGAATTATTGAGTCCAAAAGAGGTACCTCAAGAGTTGATGGTTGCAGGAGGGATTTCAAGAGCTAACGTTTTGGAGTTCTGGAGTAGCTTCGTTCCGATGATTAGCCGCTTGATAAGAGCCAGGCCCGATATGTAATGGATCTTCCCGGGGTTCGACCCTGTATAAAATAGTGACCAAACCTGCCGAAAACAGCAGGTCCAATACTATAATATTGCCTAATTCTATAAATATTATTTTAGAATTATTTTACTTATAATAAATAAATAATATTATATATTATTATAGGAAAAAAACCTAATTTAAATTAATAAAAAACTAAAATTTACTTATATTTATATTATATATTTAAAAAAGTTTTATTAATATTATAAAATCTTATTTTTCGAAATTTTTTTAATATAAATTATATTATTATATCTTGTTTTAATTTCTTTTAAATATATTTTTATAAGTCTTATAATATTCTTTTTTTCTTAATAAAAACATTTAATTATTTTTATTTATTTAATATAATTAATAATAAAATTAGTTTTTATAAGAGATATATAAATTCTATAATATATAATAAAACAAATATAAAAAAGTAATAATTACTAAAAATATAAATATAAGTAAAAATAATAATAAGTTTATTTCTAGTTTTTTCTATTTATAATTTTATTTAATAAATATTTTAAGCTTTTATATAATATAGGATTTATAATTAAAAAAAGCTAAGGATATTAGTATTTAAATATTAAGTATTATAAATATAATATTTAAGGCTTAAAAAGTAAGGTAAAAGGTCTTTTATAAAAATAATTTAAAGCTAAAAAAGAGAAAACTAAAATATAAAAAATTATAAGAAAATATATAAATCTTATAGTATATTAGCTTATAAGAGGCTTAGTATTCTAAAGATTTCTAATATATTTCAAGTATATTTCCTTTAGTAATATAAATATATTATATATATAATTATATAGTTTAAAAAGTAATAAAATATAAATAATAATATATATATAAGATATAAATAATAAAATATAAATAATACTAGTTAAATAATTATATTAGTTAATTAAATAGAAAGCCAAATTATAATATTACTTTTCTTTTTTTAAATAAGCTTGTTTTTAAGATTTATAAAAGCTAAGATTTTATTTTATTTTTTTATTATTTTTCTCGGCCTTTTAATATCTTATATATAATTTAAAAGAATTTTTTATTATTATAGTATGATTTCGGGCAAGTATTATTTTTTATATAATTTAGCTAATATTATAGGTTTTAAAGAAATTTAAATAAATCTAATATATTAATATTAATATTATAAAAGTATTATAAAGCCAGGAAGCTACTATTTAATACTAAAGCTAAATATTATTCAGAATTTCTATTTTAATTAATTAATTAGATTTTATATTTTGGCTTATTTCTTATTAGCTTAAATATTGTATTTTTATTTATTATTTTCTAGTATTATTAAAAGTAGTTCCGGATTTGCTTAATTTAATAAAGAATTATAGAGATTCTTTTATAGCTTCTTTATATAAAAAAAGTAAATATATTTTTATAATTTCTAGTAAATTTAAAAGAAATAAATAATTATACTTTTCTAGAAATTTAAATAATCTCTTTTATTTAATTCTTAAGCTTTTAATTCAAATAATTAGATTTCTAGTACTTTATAATAACTTATATTTTATTCTCGACTTTAAAATTAATTAAATAGTAATATTTATTAACTTATATTATATATTATTTTTATATTTATTTTATATAATTAATTTACTAATATCTTGACTTTGTTTTTATTTAGCTTTTCTTTAACTAAACTAAGTTTAATAAGAGAGTTTTAATTAAAAAAAATACGAGATTTATAGTTTCTTTTAATTATAAATAGAAACTAGCTAATAGTTTTATATTAAAGGAAAACTTATTAGTAATTAATTATATTAATTTATTTTTTCTAATAATTTTAATAATAATAATTAATATATAAATATAATCTTTAATTAAAGTACTAATTAATAATTTTTATTTAATTTTTATTTAAGGGTAATTAGTTATTAATAACTTAAGCTTAGTATTAATTCTCGTATAAAATTTGCTTTAAAAATCAAATTTAAACTAGAATTTCTAATCTAATATAATTATTTCTAAAATATTTATTTAGTATATTATATAAAATAAAAATAAAAATACTAATTATTTATTTATAATTATATCTTATATAAGAATTATAATTAGATATTTAAATAAGCGATTTATAAAAATAATAATTATATTATAGCCTAAATTACTTTTAGAATAACTCTTGAAATTTATAATAATATATTATTAAAAGTAATTAGAAACTAAAAAGAAATAAAATAAACTAGGCTTTTTATTTCTTAATATATATAATCTTTTATAAATATAATAATTACTTTAATATTAATTAAAATTCTTGCTTATAAATAGCTAGTAATATTACTTTTTAAATAATTAATAAAGCTTTATATATTTATAATATTTAGAAAGGAATTTATTATATATTTTATAAATTAAAGTAATTTATAAAAGTGATTTGTAATTATTTTGTTCTTTATAATATAAAGTTTTTATAAAATAAAAGAAAGCTATTTTATAATATTTAAATATTACTTTTAGCTTAAATTATTATATATAACTTCTCTAGCTTTATTAATATATAATTATTTTATAAATTTTTTTTATTAATTATAAGCTATTATATTTAATAAGAGCATTTAATAATACTTTTATAAGGGCAATTATAATAAAGGATATTAGTAAAGCTTTTTTAAAAAAAAATCTTTTTTTTAGAAAAATCACGCCTTTAATAATAATATGCTTTTTCGAGAAATCTTTAATATATATTTGATCTTTAAAACTAAATTTTGAATTAAGTAAACCGACTTTATAAAATATTATTATAAGTTATAAGTTATATATAATTTCTAAATTAATTTTATTTTTAAAAAAAAGTACTTGAATTTATAATTTCTTTTTAATTTAGCCTTAAGTATTTATTTTATTTTATTTTTATAATAAAGCATTTATTTACTTATTTAATTTTCCAGAATATATAAGTTTAAAATAATAGTAAAATAAGAGCTTAGCTTAGCTAGTTTAGTAAATAAGTTTTTTTTAATAATTAAAATAGACTTTAAAAAAAGTATTTTAAAAGCCTTTTAGTTTAGCTTTTTATTTCTTTAATACTTGTATTATAATAAGCATTTTATTATTATATATATTATAATTAAGCTTAATTAATAATATAGTTTTAAAAAAAATAAGCTATAAGATATTATAGACTTATTTCTAGATCTTATTAAAAGAGTAAGCTAGTAATTACTTCTTTAAATATATTTATTTCTATTATTATAAATAAGTCTAAATTATAATATTATAAAACTAAAATAAAAATTATAGCTTCTTTTAAGTAATTAAAAACCCCTTAATATTATTTAGTTTATTTAAAAGAAATATTCTTTTTTATAAATAAAGTAAGGAATTTAATAATTCATTTATTCTTTTTAATAAAGCCTTTATAAAAGTTATAAAAGTCGAGAAAGAATTATATGTTTTTAATTATTTTTAGAAATTACTAATTATATATTATTTTAATACTAGTTATAAAAATAATAAAGCCTAAATATTTAATATATATAACTTTAAACTTTAATTTCTTAATATTTATTTAAAGTTTAATAAAATATAAATAATATAGTATTTTATATATATATTTTTTATGTTTTACTAAATTTACTAAATAAATAAAAATATTATTAAAATAAATTATATAAAAGTAATATATTAAAAAACTAGTTATATTACTTAAATTATTTATAAATATTTATAAGTAATATAATACCTTAAAGATTTAAGTAAAATAAAATATATATTTATAAATAATATAAATAATTTAAGTAATTATTATATAATTATAATAAATTCAGATTAACTTAATAATAATTAAATAATAAAGGTATTTATTAAATAGCTTTAATAAAAATAACCTGGAACTTATATAAACCTAGCTAAATACTAATTTTTTATAATAATAAACTAATTATTCTTTCTAAAATCTTGATTTATTTCTAATTTATAACTTATTTATTAAATAATACTATTATTTAATTAGATAGTAAGAAGGTACTAAAATAAAAGCAAATAAGAGGCTTATTTAATTAGGCTAGCCTATTATATATATTTATTATAAGTAGTTTAAATAAAATATAAATAAAATATAAGTAAAACTTATTATTTTATTTTAATTTATTTATTTAAATACTTAAAAATATATTATTTATATAATATTAATATATAGCCGGGCTATTTATAAGGCCTTTTTAGAAAATATTATATTTATATACTTTATAATAAAGATAAAATATTCTTAGTTTTTAAAAATTCGAGTTTATAGTTTTATAATAAAAAGTATAATAAATCTTGGCTTTAAATAATTAATTTAGGGTCTTATTATTAAATAAAAAGAAATATTAATCTTTTTAAATAATATTATTTAGATAACGGAAATTAATATAAAAGAATAAATCTTTATTAGCCTTTTTTATAAAAAGAACTAATAAAATAAAGAGAGCTTAACTAGCTTAATAAAGCCTTTAGCTAAATTATTTTCCAAGAAATACTTGATTTTCTAAAGCTCTTAAATAAATTATTACCGGAGAAATTAGTATCTAATACCTTTAATTTCTTTTAAATCTTTAATTTAAATCTTATAATTATATAATTTATATAAAAAAAAGAATATTAGATTTCTTTTTAAAGAAAATAAAGGTATATTTCTTAAGTTTCGGAAATAATATTTTTTTAAAGCTATTAAAGCTTTATTTCTTTTAGTTATTAATTCTTTAATTTAGGAATAATTTCCTTTTTTCGAGCTTTAAGCTTTTTATTAATCTTATAAATAAAGATTTAACTAATAATACTTTCTTTTTTCTTAATTATAAAATCAAATATTATTAAGATAAGAATAATTAAATCTAGTATTTGCTTTTTATTAAGGGTTT